ATTTATTAACTTTGAAAGCAGTGAATAAATCCTTTAAAAAAGTCAAATCTTTATGAATTCTGATAGAACCTCTGGCATACAGTAAATCTCGCCATAGACAATCTAGGTAACATCTTTCAACAAAACCCGCATATGGAATGTAAGCAGAGCCAAAAACTAGCTAACTGGCAATATGAATCTCTATCATTAACCTAAAATCGTCAAATAACTACTTCCGCAATTCCGCATGACCGATTTACATGTAGGCTTCCATTGGAGGGCAGGTGCAGACGAGATTTTTGTCACCGTACGAGTCGTCAATACGTCCGGTAGTGGGCCAACCCTTATGGTGGCACCATGGTTTCGGGAATGCGGCCAATTCGCGGGAATACGGCAAATCCCAATTATCCGACGCAACCTTTGCCAATGTGTGTGGTGCCATCTGCAATGTGAGACGTGTCATTGGACTTTGAAAATGCACTTTGGGAGGTTGAGTGACAGACGAAAAAAATACAATCGCAGAGCAAATGCGTTTCAAATGTCTGTGATAGTTCGTCGTAAAAACAAAGTCATGCAAAAATGTAACAGAATTTTCTATCTACAAATATTCATCGAATTATCATGAGTTTTGCGAAAACAATATCAATAATATTGCTAATATCTGTGCATTAATGATAAAAATGAGCTGGGCAGATAGTGATTTTATCTCGCTTTTTCAGTTATATTTTACATTAGTACTATTTTATTTGAGGTTCGTCAATAAAAGTTTTGAATAATCAATATTTCAGTTGAATTATGCTTACAAAAGGTTAAGCATGATTTGTGACGCACGAGTCTCACTTTTTCAAATGTAGAAAATTACTGTTTTATTCACTCCCAATCACATAACTTAGTCGTTTTAAACAAACTACTTAGAACACATGTAGGAACTGGAAAGGAGAGAAGAGGAGGGAGAAAAGGAGGGAAATAAATAGGGTGTTTTGTGTTTTGACCTATCGATTGAATCTCAATAAATAAAAATCCTCTTTGCTCCTTCTTCTCTTAGATTTATCATAGGCTTCTTCTAAACACTGTGCTTACCGTAAATGTGATCTCAACGTTTTTTTTTCGAATTTGTATACTTTAACATTAAAGGAAAAGCTGAAGTGAATTTACTACTGTGAAAACTAATTATGTGGTTGCGAAAGTAAGTACTAATTTTGAAATATTGTGATTATTTTATTAAGAGGTGCTTCCTTTGGAATTTAATTCTGAAACTTCTATGAATGTGCAAGATGAGGATATAGAGATAGTAAAAAGGGAAGCTACAATGCTAAAATTCTTTCTGTTCAGGTTTTGACAAATTTTTTTTCAGAATTTTTTTGAACTCTTCGGTGTTGAAATGAACATGATCCTAGAACACATG